GGGGCCTGAACTCTGGGCCTGGGCGCTGTCCTTAAGCTCTTCAGCTCAAGGCTAGCACTCTACCACTTGAGCCACAGCGCCACTTCCGGCTTTTTCCTGCTTATGTGGCGCTGAGGAATTGAACTCAGGGCCTCATGCATGCGAGGCAAGCACTCTACCACTGAGTCACCTTCCCAGCCCCCAAACTTCTTTTTTCTGAGAGGAGAGAAATCTTTGCTCACCATCCCAAACCAACTTTCCTTTTTCCCTTCTTTCCTCCTTTCCTCCATCTCTCCTTCCCCTTCTTTCTTTCTTTCTTCTTCCTTCCTCCCTCCCTCCCTCCCTTCCTTCCTTTTCAGTGCTGGTACTGGGGCCTGAACTCAGAGGCAGAGTGCTTAGCTTTCCTTAGCTTTTAGCTCAAGGTTAGTGCTCTACCACCTGAGCCACACCTCCACTTCTGGCCTTTTGATGGTTAATTGGACATAAGTGTCTCACAGATTTTTCTGCCTTGCTGGCTTTAAACTACAGCTACTCAGCCTCCTGAGTAGCTGGGATTACAGGTGTGAATCACTGGTGCCCAGCTAAAATCACAACCTGAACTTTTTTTCATACCTAGCACATTGTAAGGTCTGTGGAGTATGAGTCTTGTTAGAAACCTAATTTCTTCTCTCTCTCTCTCTCACGTATTTTTTTCTTCCAGTACCGGCATCAGACTCAGGGCCTTGTTTACGATAACAAGTTACAAAGCTACATCCCCAGCCCAAGGGACTGAGGAAGTATGACTCCCAAGAGCTTTCTACTACTTGTTAATTATGTAATCCTTGGGTATCAATCCATTTTTATGTTGCAATAATAATATACTTGAGAAAAATAGATTTACTTTGTTCACAGTTTTGAAGGCTGAAAAGTGACCTCATCTATCTTTTTGGCTTTTATTAGGGAACCCTTGGCTATAGCACAACATAGGAGAGAAGCAGGAAGCTCAAGTCCATGAAGAGACCTCCCTTTGCAATAATGATCCACTGTCCTAAGATTTCACTCACACTGAGAGATTAGCATTAATTTCTTCTAAGGATGGTGGCCTATGTCCTAATTACCTTACACTAGGCCTCACCTCTTCAACCTGGATCAAGTTTTTCCAGCATATAAACCTTGAAGGGACACAAATCATATCCAAACACTAGCAACCTTATTAAGTTAAACTCCTTGTTCTACAATTTCTTCATCTGTTAAATAAGAAAAATGAGCAGAGCTTACCATATAAGGTTGTAATGTGGCTTCTTTACAAGTCTTCTCTGAAAGACAAGCTATTATAAACCTTCCCCTCATCTCAAAGATCATATATATTCTCCCCCCCCTCCTCCAATTCAACAAAACCACAATCTCTTGACATTGCCTATCAATTTCCAGAAGGCTTAAGGGAGTGTGTCCAGTCTAACAGGTTTTTTTTACAGCATGTCTCAGGGAAGTGGTCTTGTCATTCAGTCTACCTCTAGCTGAATAACCAGAAATTTGATATTGGATTTAGGTATGTCCATGAGTCTACCCTGTATGGACTGGCCTTGAATTCACGTAGGGCCAACCTAGGGATTACAGTTCAGTAGAATCTGGTGTAGATCTGACATGGTCTAGACAATTCCTCCAGGTCACACACTGCCTGGTGCTTTAGAAGGACAGCCCTTCCCTGGGACTGCTCCTGCTCTTTCCATCCATGTCCCTTCTATTTGTAGAAAAGAAAATGAGAATGCATGAAGGTTTCATGTTAAAACATTACACAAAGACCAAAGGCCCCTTATAGTTAACAGTGAAGCTGAGACAAAGAAGGCCTATTACCTGCCAGAGTCCAGAGTTCTTAGGTCCTACTCACTTGAACAGATTTTCATTATTAAGACAAGTATAGAGTTTTATCTGAATGCTTATTGTTATTATTATCATTTTATTATTTGTACTGATACTGGAGCTTGAACTCAAAGCCTAGGTCTTATCTCTTGGCTTTTTCACTCAGGCTGGAGCTCTTGAGACAAAGCCTTTTGATAGTTAACTGCAGTGAAGAGTCTCATGGACTTTACTACCTGGCTTAACTTCAACTTGAATCCTCAGATCTCAGCCTCTTGAGTGATTAGGATTATAGGTATGAGCCACTGGCTTGTGGCTTTTAAGAGTTTTCTAAGCTGGGCGCTTGTGGCTCACACCTGTAATCCTAACTACTTAGGAGGCTGAGATATGAGGATTTTGGTTTGAAGCCAGCCCAGGCAGGAAAGTCCGTGAGACCCTTATCGCCAATAAACCACCAGAAAACCAGAAGTGGCGCTTTAGCTCAAGTGGTAGAGCGCTCACCTTGAGCTGAAGAGCTGAGGGACAGTGCCCAGGCCCAGAGTTCAAGCCCCACCACTGACAGAAAAAAAAAAGTCTTATGAGTCCATGAGATTTATAAGTTAAACTCTACTATTGCCTCAATTACCTCTTAAATGAAGTCAAATCATCTGGATATCACAGACTATGTGTATTTGTGATTTTTAGCTGATCAAAACTCACAGAATAGCATAAGAACACTTCACAAATATTCATAAAACTATGCTTATTTTATTTCACAATGTGCATTATAAGCTACCTGGTTTGCTTTCTTCCTTATCAGTCACAAAACAGCACCTGCCACTAATTTTTTCCTTTGCTGGTAGTAGGGTGTGAGCTCGGGGTTTCCATCTTAATTAGCTTTTTCTGCTCAGGGCTGGTGCTCTACCAATTGAGGTACATCTCCACTTCCAGCTTTTGGTGGTTCTTTTTTTTTTTTTTTTGTCAGTCGTGGGCCTGGGCTCTGTCCCTGCGTTCTTTACCTCAAGGTGAGTGCTCTACCGCTTGAGCCACAGCACCACCTCCAGTTTTCTAGTGGTTTATTGGAGATAAGAGTCTCACGGACTTTCCTTGCCTGGGCTGGCTTTGAACTGTGATTCTCAGATCTCAGCCTCCTGAGTAGCTAGGATTACAGGTGTGAGCCACCAGTGCCCTGACTCGGTGGTTAATTAGTTATAACAGTCTCAACAGACTTTCCTCCCCAGTCTGGGCTGGCTTAAAACCTTAATCCTCAGGTTGCAACTTCCCAGAGTAGCTATGATTATAGGCATGAGCTATCAGCTTGAACTCAGGGCCTGAGTGCTGCCAGTTTACTCTCTATTTTTCCTTAAAGTCTAAGCGTATAGTTCTAATGTAATCATTATGCAGTTTGAATGTGATGAGTCACTTGCTCAGGCTCATCTAGTGAGTCATTTAAATATCAGAAGCTGACATGTTACCAAGGCAACATAAAAGCCTTTAGATCCAGCCTTGGAGCCCAGGAGCATATTCAAAACTGGGATGTCAAAGTTTGCATTCCATTTTTCTCAATTTCTTGTTGTTTTTCCAATTAGGTTTTTTTTTAACATTTTAATTAATTAATTAATTTTGCTGGTGCTGGGGCTTGAATTCAGGGCATGAGCACTGTCCCTGGGCTCCATTTTGTTTTGTTTTGTTAGTCTGGGGGCTTGAACTCTGTCTGGGCCTCAGCTTTACAGCTCAAGGTGAGCACTTTACCACTTGAGATTAATTAGAGATGAGTCTCACGACTGCCTAGGATTACAGGTGTGAGCCACTGGTGCCCGGATCCCTGAGCTCTGTTTGTTCAAGGCTAGCACTCTACCACTTGAGCCACAGTGCCACTTCTGGCTTTTTCAGTTTATGTGGTACTGAGGAATCAAACCCAGGGCTTCATGTATGCTGGGCAAGCACTCTACCACTAAGCCACATTCCCAGTTCTCCAACTAGTTTCATAGCCACTATATTTCTGGAAGTTTCTAATTCCTAATTTTGTAATTGAAGTTTTTGTTTAGTATACAGGCTCATATGCTTTATCTTTATTTCCTTGCAAAAAAATTTTACTTGCTGTCATAAATACAACTCCATTGTGTTAAAGAGGCCAAACTAAAGACAAGCCTTTAGCTAGTATAGGGGACATTTTCAGGAAAGGTGAAGTTTTTAATCTCACATTATTATTATTATTATTATTTATTTATTTATTTTGCTGGTCATGGAGCCTGAACTCTGGGCCTAGGTGCTGTCCCTCAGCTCTTCAGCTCAAGACTAGCGCTCTACCACTTGAGCCACAGTGCCACTTCTGGCTTTTTCTGCTTATGTGGTGCTGAGGAGTCTAACCCAGGGCCTCATGCATGCAAGGCAAGCACTCTACCATTGAGCCACCTTCCCAGCCCCTCACATTAATTTTTAAACCTTCAAAATGTGAAACAATTTTAGATTTACAAAAATGTGATTAAAAAAATAACACATCTCCATTGTACCTTTACCCAGCTTCACCTAATGTTAACATATTACATAAATAACAAATATACAAATATGTATAAAATATCAAAACTAAAAATCTAACAGCCTTGATGAGCATTTTTCCAGACTTACTTACCACTAATGCTCTTTCTTGAGCTTGGAATCCAATCCACAATCTCTCTTTGTAGAAAGGAGAGAGGGAGGGAAAGAGGGAGGAAGGAGGGAAAGAACGAAGGAAAGGAAGGATGGAAGGAAGGAAGGAAGGAAGGAAAGAAGGAAAGGAAAGAAGGAAGGAAAAAAGGAGGGAAGGAAGGAAAACAATTAGATTCACTAACCTGTGGGAATCAGAGTTTCATCCACAGGCAAAAAAGCATCAGCTTCTATGGTGACTTCATGGTCATATATATTTGGAGAGCCCTGGGAAGGAATAGGAAAGAGAAAGAAAAGACTTACTGTTTAATCTTATTTTACATTTACATTCTGCTTTTTTTGGGGGGGGGTCCGGTCGTGGGGCCTGAACTCTAGGCCTGGACACTGTCCCTCAGCTCTTCAGCTCAAGGCTAGCGCTCTACCACTTGAGCCACAGTGCCACTTCCGGCTTTTTTCTTTTTGCTTGCAAGGCAAGTGCTCTACCACTGAGCCACCTTCCCAGCCCCTTACATTTTGCTTTATTGTATAACATTTCTTGCTGCGAGCAGGTGGCTCACGCCTGTAATCCTAGCTACTCAGGAGGCTGAGATCTGAGGATCACAGTTCAAAGCCAGCCTGGGCAGGAAAGTCCGTGAAACTCTTATCTCCAATAAACCACCAGAAAACTGGAAGTGAGTGGTTAGAAGGCCCCGAGGCCTATCTAATTTTAACTAACATTGAGTGGTCCCAGCAAAGTCACACAGCCTCTTAGAATATCATTTCTTTGGGTATAAAATTGGGGTGATGCTCTGCATTGGTGACTCATGCCTGTAATCCTAGCTACTCGGGAGGCTGAGATCTGAGGATCGCAGTTTGAAGTTAACTCAGGCAGCAAAGTCTTTTTTTGTGTGTGTGTGTGGGGGGTCCGGTTGGGGGGCCTGAACTCTGGGCCTGGGCACTGTCCCTCAGCTCTTCAGCTCAAGGCTAGCACTCTACCACTTGAGCCACAGCACCACTTCCAGCTTTTCTTTTTTCTGCTTCTGTGGTGCTGAGGAATCGAACCCAGGGTTTCAGGCATGCAAGGCAGGCGCTCTACCACTGAGCCACCTTCCCAGCCCAGCAAAGTCTTGTGAGACTGTGATCTCCAACTAACAAGGCAAAAAGCTGGAAGTGTAGCTGTGGTTCGAAGGGTAGAGTGCTAGCCTTGAGTGAAAAAGCTAAGGGACAGTGTTTAGGCCCTGAGTTCAAGCCACAGTACCAGAACAAGAGAAAAAAAAATTGGGGTATTGATGTCCTCACTCCTTCCAGGTCTTAAAGGAAAAGAATTTAGTAAAGGCATACTGTACTCTTAGCAAACCAGAAAGTACTTTATACAGACACATAGTATGTGTCTGTATAATACATACACAGCCTGGTCACCTTCCTCCTGAAAGTGCATTTCTTAAATATGTACATATTAAATGAATCACTCTGAATATTTGATGTAATAACTTAAATTCTTTGTTCTCCCTAAAAAAAAATGGAATCCTACATCACATATTCTTTTTTTGGGGTCTGTTATAGGGCTTGAACTTTGGGCCTGGGCGCTGTCCCTCAGCTCTTCAGCTCAAGGCTAGCGCTCTATTACTTGAGCCACAGTGCCACTTCCAGTTTTCTAGTGGTCTATTGGAGATAATGCTTTCACAGACTTCTCTTCCAGGGCTGGCTTTGAACCTTGATCCTCAGATCTCAGCCTCTTGAGTAGCTAAGATTACAGGCGTGAGCCACTGGCACCTGGCTCACAGTACATATTCTTGTGTGCTTTATTTCTTCCATACAACATAATGCTCTTGAGATCATCCATGCTATTGAATTGGTATGATGGTCCTTTTTACTGCTGGATAGTATTCCATTATATGAATACATGACGATTTGTTTATCCCTTTATCCTGTGGATTGACTCATGCTTATTTCCAGTGTTTTAATATTATTTTAAAAAAGCTGCTTCGGAATTTCTTTTCTGTTTTTTTTTTTCTTTTTCGTCTTCCTCTTCTAATTGAAGCATTAAGGCAGGAAGAAAATGACTCAATATAAAAACCACACACCAAATAAATTGAAAAGGAAAGGAACATTCGTCAGGCTCCACATGCTCAGCATGGCCATTAGGTCACCAAGCCCTGACATTCTTTGCCTCAAGAGCAGCATGTTTAACATCTGCTGCCTCTTCTCGCCTGGAAAATGTAGTGGTCTATCCTTGTGGAATATTACTGTTGGGCTCATTTCCTCTCAGGGAGGATGAAAACTTGGTAAGAAACACTGGTTCACAAACAGACCTTGAGGTTCATCTCTGAGCGCAATGTGTTGGTTAACTTTGCTTGGCTGCTGCTAGGAACTATTTACAGAATCCATTTGATTGCACAGGGCTTTAAAGTCTTTTTGTACATTGCCATGACTTGCTACTACCCCTAGCAAGAAGTAACAGACTATAGTTTATTACCTATTCACTTCAACTTCTTTGCAATCACCTTTCCTTTCTCCAGGCCAGAAACCTGACTTGTTGATTTAGTGTACTTAGGCCATATATTCAGGGAAAGGGACTCTTCCCTGTCCTCAGAAGACAGTGTTGATTATTCTAAACCAATCATGGTTGTATAATCCCCTTGCTGGCACTTAGGCCAGAAAAAGCATGTATAGGTCACATTTTTGGCCAATAAAAATGTGAAAGTCAAGCTGGATGCCAGTGGCTCATGTCTGTAATCCTAGCTACAGGAGGCTGAGATCTGAGGATCATGGTTCAAAGCCAGCCCAGGCAGGAAAGTTCATGAGACTCTTATCTCCAATAAACCACTCAGAAAACTGGAAGTGGCACTGTGGCTCAAGTGGTAGAGTGCTAGCCTTGAGCTGAATAGCTGAGGGTCAGCACCTAGGCCCAGAGTTCAAGCCTCATGACCGGAAAAAAAAAAAAAAAGTGGAAGTCTGTGTGTAGGAGGGGTGAGGGCTTCTAGGAAAGTTTTTACTTATTCTTAGAAAGGAAATATTAGTGGCATGGAAAAAGGAATAGGTCTTTTTTTAGATCTCTAGAGGTGACTAGGAGGAGGTGATTTCTTCCTCCCTCCCCCCTCCCTCCCTCCTTCCCTCCTTCCTTCCTTCCTTGCTTGCTTCCTTTCTTTTGCTGATCCTGGCACTTGAACTCAGGGCCTGGGTGCTGTCCCTGAACTTCTTTTGCTCAAGGCTAGAGCTGTCCTACTTGAGCCAGAGTTCTGCTTCTGGCTTTTTTGGGGTAGTTTTAGTGGAGACAAGAGTCTCACAAAATTTCCTGCCCGGGTTGGCTTCAAACCAAGATCCTCAGATCACAACCTGCTAAGTAGCTTGGATTACAGGCATGAGCCACCATTGCCTGATGAGGATATTGAGCTGTAGCAACCACTCTTTGACTATTAGGTATGCCTGAAGACAACACCCAAACATTAAGGAAGGACAATGTAAAAATGGAAGAACCTGGGTCTCTGATGATGGATCTGCCTAGTCATACTAGAACCACACCTCTGACTCAAATTTCCCCAGATACGCTCTTACAGCTCTTTAGGCAAATTTTCAATTAAAAAAAAATTATCTGAAGCCGGGCGCTGGTAACTCACACCTGTAATCCTAGCTACTCAGGAGACTGAGATCTGAGGAACGTGGTTCAAAGCCAGCCCGGGCAGGAAAGTCCATGAGACTCTTATCTTCAATAAACCACTAGAAAACCGGAAGTGGCGCTGTGGCTCAAGCGGTAGAGCACTCACTTTGAGCTGAAGAGTGCAGGGACAGAGACCAAACTCAGAGTTTAAGCCCCACGACTGACCCCGCCCCCCAAAAAAAAATCTCTTGAGTTTTATGTTCTGCACAGGATGGAACAGGAAAACAAAACAAAATCCAACAAAGCAGTGAAACTCCTGCAATCTCCATACCTTTTCCACTCATTGAAAAACATGACTTACTTTTCCCCCTAGACTTCTAATTTTCAAATGAGAGGTGATGAATCAATGCTTGCACTCCAAGGCAGAACAAAAAGACTGTTTGCTGAATTTAAAAACAAAAAATATAAAAAATACATAAGCAGACTATTTGACGTATTAAGTTTTGAATTGTGGATTCAAGCTACATTACCTCATAAGTAGGGGATAGCTCACATCTGTAATTGTAGCTTCACAGGATGCTGAGATCTAAGGATCACAGTTCAAAGAGAGTCCCAGCAGGAAAGTCAATGAGACTCTTATCTCCAATTATCTAGCAAAAAGCTAAAAGCTATAAAACCCTGGGTTTGATTCCTCAGTACCACATAAACAGAAAAAGCCAGAAGTGGTGCTGTGGCTCAAATGACTCAAGCCCCAGGACTGGAAAAACAACAACAAAATCGTAGTAAATCTTATGAATTTTGTCAAATTCTTTTTTGTCGGTCTTGGAGCCTGAACTCTGGGCCTGGGCGCTGTCCCTTAGCTCTTCAGCTCAAGGCTAGGGCCCTACCACTTGAGCCACAGCTCCACGTCCAGCTTTTTCTGCTTATGTGGTGCTGAGGAATTGAACCAGGGCCTCTTGCATGCAAGGCAAGCGCTCTACCACTGAGTCACCTTCCCAGCTATTCTCATCATTTCTCTGTAAACTTAATTTTAAAAGTAGAGCTTCATATGGTGGTCTTTTGGGTATTTTTTTTTTTCTAGTTAAGGTCCCATGTCTCTAGTCCAGGCTGACTTCAAACTTTCTTTCAATCCTTCTACCTCAACCTATGGAGTACTGAGATTAAAGGCATGTGCCATCATACCTGACCTAATTTGTTTTAAGATTGGTAAAAGAGGGGCTGGGAAGGTGGCTTAGTAGTAGAGCGCTTGCCTTGCATGCCTGAGGCCCTGGGTTCGATTCCTCAGCACCACATAAGCATAAAGAAAAAAGCCGGAAGTGGCGCTGTGGCTCAAGTGGTAGAGCACTAGCCTTGAGCTGAAGAGCTGAGGGACAGTGCCCAGACCCAGAGTTCAGGCCCCACGACTGGACCCCCCAAAAAAAAAGATTGGTAAAAGAATGATGAATGTTCCTAAAGAATAACAAGCAAGGAAAGATCTACAATTCTTCTTTTTTAACCCTCCCTTTTTTTTTCCTTCAGCTGTGGGACTTGAACTCTGGGCCTGCGCACTGAGCTCTTGAGCTCAATGGTGCATTCTTTTTTTTTTTTAATTTTTATTTTATTTTATTTGTGAACATACTGTACAGAGGGGTTACAATTACATGGGCAGGATAATGCGTACATTTCTTACCAAGCATTGCAG